TAATGTTTTAAAATTTTATTTTATTTTATCCCACTTCCCCTCCTTATGTATAAAAGCTTTGTTTCCATTTTATCCTTCTATTTTCACTTTTTTCTTGTCTCTTCCTTCCTTTCTCCCTCCCTCCTCCCTTGTTCTCCTTCCCATTTGAACACTTTCTTCCCATTTCCCAATGTTCATTATACATCTCAGTCTTTATTTCCACGTTCAGTTTCTCACACCAGAGAAACAATGCAGTATTTAAATGTGTGTCCACTTTAGTTCATTTAAGAGTATGGTCTGAAGCTCATCCTTCTTTATGGCAGAGTAGCACTCCATTGCATTAAAAAAACACATCTTTATCCACTCATCAGTTGATTTGGGCTGTTTCCAAGATTTAGCTATTACAAACTGTTCTTGCAAGATATTTTAAATTTCTGTTTCTGATGTTAATAGTGCCAGAACAGCTTCTTGAAAACCGCTGTTCCATACCACTGGTAAGTCAACTGCAAATCTGGGCACAGTCTACAAATACTGTACAGATCATTCCTCACCAAAAATATTAAGATCAAAAGTGATAAAGAGAAACCAAGAAGTTTTCCCAAGTGGAGGTGTCTGAGGAAACAAGATATATGAATGTGTGTGGGGCCTGGAGATGAGAAACAGTAATAGCCACTGGACAACTCTGTATCTCGTCAGTTTCAATGAATTATGTTGTAGTGATACTAGTATTTTGATTGTCAGAGGTGTGCACTGCTGTGTAATGAACAGATACCAAGAAAACTCCCTACCATCCTGGCGGCCGTGCTATAGACCTAAATAAGAGAGCAACTCAAAACAGCCAAATTTTAATTTATTTCAATATAATGTGCAGTAGAAATCTAATTTCAGGGCAAGAAGTGTTCAGAGGTTAAAAAAAAAAACAGGTTTTTGAAGGATCTACCCAGTTCCCAAGTAATAAAAATGTTTTCCTAGAGTATTTCAGGAGCACCCAATTTTATTCTCAAAGAAAATAATCATTATCTTCATTTCTATAATCAGCAAGAATGCATGGCTTGATACAGTCTTTCAGCCAGGAATTCGTGGCATCTGCACTATACCAAGCACTGAATGGGGGCCCAGGAGAGTGGACACTGGTTTCCACTTGAGGAGCTTGCCATGGGCTCAAGGCCCTATAGACAAGAGCAAAAGGGATGAACTGCTAACATTTCTGTACTGAACCTGTGAGGGTGGGTAGGCCTATTTTCGTTAATAATACATTTTCAGCCTATGGCAAGTTTTCTTTAGCCTTGCATTCTAACCATCTGGGATGCCCTAGGAATCCATTGTTGCTAGCCACATATGATAATCATTAGGTTTTCTAATATGAAATTATTTGGTAGTTCAGCATGGCTGAATAGTAGCACATTCTCATGTCTCAACCTATTACTATTGCTTTATTTTGAGGAGATTCACATTCTTAGCAATTTTCTCTCTACATGTGTATTGGTTTTAGGTTGAATAGTATACATGGATAAATGCCTTGTTTCCTAAATCTGTGCAAACACAAAGAAGGACTGAAACGTGAAATGCATTACAAAACAGTATTGCTTATTTCTACCAGTTCTAGAAGTATATTGATTAATATCAGGAGACTCTAGAAAATTATATTTTACAGATTTTGTTTTCTCATTGAGGAATTAGGAAAGAACCAATGCTTTCTAAGGTATCCTTCATATAAAAACCAATATTAGAACTTCTTTCAGACAGCAGTGATTGTACACTATGGGTTTAGAATTAACAGTAGTTACATTATAGTCCAGACCATAAGAAAGACTGGGAGCACTCCTGGCCAAGACTCCCATTTTAGTTGGCAGAAAGCAAGAGTATTGTTTTTGTGTTGGTAGAAAACCACTTCTGAATAGATCTCATTTCCCTATCCCCTGCTACTTGTGCTGACTGATTTTGTTTGTTTTTGTCACTGTGACTTCTTGATTCTTAACTTGGGAATGTGCACAAACAGGATGAGCCAGATCAAATATCCTGCAGGAAACTAAATCATTTTCCCATATTCAGCTGAAGGAGACAAATACAATAATATTAGAGCTCAGACCATCCATCTTTTAGCACTTCATAGTTATTATTGTGAAATACATTGGTCCAGTTACTTAGAAATTTTCCAACAGGTTAAGGTTAAATTATTAGGGTGAGCAATTTAGTTCTTTACTTCCATATACATTCTATTTATTTTTCCCCTTCCCCTCCCTCCCCTCCCTTCCCTCCCTTCCCTCCCTTCCCTTTACAGGAGATCAAACCCAGTGTGCTCTTCCACTGAGCTACATCCCCAGTCCTTCTTATATTTCATTTGGAGTCTGGCTCTTGCTAAGTTGCCCAGGCTGGCCTTGAATTTTTGAACTTGCCTCAGCTTCCCAAGCAGCTAGGCTTACAAGCTTGTACTGCATCCATCCACATTCTATTTCTAGGAGAATTTTGAGTGGGGAAAATGACCAAACCAAATTGACTCACTTTAACACAGGGTCGATGGCTTCAGTCCCTATCATAGGAGAACAGCCCACAGCCAGATTTGTATGCCTTGGACATCAGGAGACATGGTTGCAAAAAGACCTAATAAGGGCTAGCTTTAAAGGAAATAGAGGGAAAAGCATTGTTGAGCTGCATTTGTAGGATCTTAAGGGTGTAATGTCTAACAAGACTCAGCTATTGATCTGACTTGGTAGGAGGAAGGGCACAGCCTGGGCTTTCTGTCTCTGACACTGTGTACTCACTAGTGCTAGTGGCCAAGAGGCATACTGTTAAAGCTAAAGCAGAAGTAGATGGGGCTGACAGTGTTCCATCAATTCAGCTACATAAACACTGAGATTGAATTGCTCCAAGGCCATAGCAGTCAGGAGGAACAGTGAGGGGAATGAGTGGGCTCAGTGTGGTGGAGTAGGCCCTCAGTCAAGTGTAGTGAACGTCAGGCCTGGCCAGGGAGGGCTCTCAGTGCTTAGTAGCATTTAGATTTTAAATGTCTGGGAAATCTATGTGGAACTGTTAAGTGGTCAAGGAGAGAAGTGGGCCAGAAGTTTGGGGAGATTCTGCTTCCTTCACTTCTAAAGTTAACATATTTTAGATACTAAATTTTAAAAAGCATTGAATGTGTAGTCAGATAGGAAAATATGATGTTACTGACAATAGTTCTAAACAAGCAGCTGGTTGGGAATTAGGTACAAAGCAGAAAATTGAAGTGTTTATGTAGTTTTAATCTTCCTCTTAGAGTCAGGAATGAATGTATCCTGTTTTTGTTAATGTGAATACAAGTGATATACCGTTGTGCACTGGTCCCTATGCTCTTTTGACCTCCACTCTGCAGCTGTTACTCTGTTGTGTTCCGCATTTCAAGAAAGAGTGGTCAGGTACTCAGGACTTTTGCTGGACTAATTTTCTACTTGCTGATGGCAGAGTCTTTTAACCATCCAAACATCATCAGCACAAGGCAGCATGTTTTGTATGACAGGATGTCAAAAATAAAGACTGAACCATCTTCCCACTTACATGCTGGAAAGTGAATTGTTTACATATGTGATGGAACCAAATTTTATTCATCTATTTTGTCTTCAGGTCACCAGAATCCTAATTTATTATGGTAGAGTCAGACATTTACTTCTTCTTAAGCATGAAGTTTAGTTTCAGCCATGAGCTACCTTCTTTTCTTAGAGGTAATGAGATAACTTACACTTTCTTCCCCCACCCATAAGGATATTATCTAAGAAACCACATTCAGAATGAGGTAAGACCATAGAACATGGTGGTCAGTTTTCCTTGATGCAGTTTGGAAAACATCTTAGAAAAGATAGTGATTGCACTGACTACAAGGCTTATAAACATGTCAGAGGTCCTGCATCTTGGATTTGTATCCCAGCTCCTACACTCCTATCTCCTGACCTGACCTTCCTAGGTCTCCATTGCCTTAGTAATCTACAAAAAATAGTATCTTCCTTGCAGGGATCATTTTGAAGACATGGAGTTTATGTTCATGGAAGTCAGCAGATATCTTTTCTGGTACTGTTTTCTTATCTGTGTTAGTGTCTTACCAGTACTGTCCCCACAGACCAGTGTTTCCTGTAGCTAAGACTGAGATCAGAAAGCTCTTCCTCCAGTTACACTGAGTTTCTGAAAGACACAGTATCTGGTTCTTCAGTGTACTCCAGGTGCCACAAAGATCCGAATCCCTTGGTACCTACATTCGGGTTCCGAAGTGGAACAAACCTGCTTTTTAGGGCCTAGTTTGCATTCAGCAAACACCCAGAGAACTGTTATTAATCCATAATTGAAAAACAACCTAGTCAGGCATGGTGGCGTACACCTATAGTCCCAGTGCTCCAGAGGATGAGGCAGGAGGATCACAGTGAGTTTGAGGCCAGCCTGGGCTACATAGTGAGTCCAAGGCCAGGCTGAACTACATAGTGAAACCCTGTCTCAAAAAGAAAAAAAAAAGAAAAACAGTCTTGTGGGTGACTTCAGACAGTATTCAAATCTCCACATTCACTGTGCACTCTCCTGGTAGACAGTTAGACCTACAAAGGCAGTCATACCCAGAGACTGTTTAGAAAGGCTCAATAACTTTAAATACTGTCAGGCCTATGAAAAGAGAGTGCCTTTTTTAAATCTCGTGGCTCAGAGCCATTATTTGAATGGGCATTCCTAAAAAATAAATTTCCCAGGCTTTTTTGTACAAAGCATCCTATGCTGACCAACCTATTATCTGTGTGATGCACTTTATAGTTGAGCCCTGGTGACCTTGAGCCCATTTTACTTCTCTGCAGTTCATAATCTGTGATCTAAAGCTATAAGTAATCATTCTTAGAAGAGATATAATTCTCTCATTTCACTCTTTGCCTTATTCCCCTGTCAAAACCCCAGCTATGGTTAAACCAACTGTGTCTCTTTCCTCTTTCCTGCTGCTCTTGATTTGCAGGTGCTGTGTCTGTGAATACCTCAGCTTGTGACTGAGATTTCTGTCACTATCCCTGCTCTAGTCTCTGCTCCAGACATAACCAATTGTCTTATTTGATGATTTAACTTGGAAGGCTTAAGGATCACAAACATGGCCAAAATTTACATGACTGTGTTTTCTTTACCAGGCCTTCCCTCTTCACCCGTGCGCTCTGTTCAGACACCTAGTCACCCTGGATTCCTCACTTTCCCATTTTCTGCAAATGATCATCTCAAGGTGCTTATTTTTCTTCTTCACACCACTTTACAGTATCCTGATGGGTCTTTCTGCTTTCACCTGTGCACGTTCCTCCAGCCCTCTGTATGCAAGAGCAAGGCAAGCTCTTAAAACACAAATCCAGGGCCAGAGATTTATCTCAGTGGTGCCGCTGCCTGCTTCATAACTAGAAGGTCCTGAGTTCAATCCCCGGTACCAAGAACAAAACAGAAACACAAATTCAGCTCGTATACACTTGTCTTCCAGGAATCTTTCCCTCTCCCCTACCTCAGTGTCTTACTCCAGGCTGACCACTTTTCAGTTCATTAACTACAGCACCAAATCATGTGTGCCCCTCTCTGAACACAGCTCTTATCTTCCCAGATCACTCTCTGTGGTGTCCCAGATCCAGTAATACTTTGACTTTGCTGGGCCCTCTCAACCTCTCTAGGCAGGATCTCATCTCCACGGTTCAACCAGAGTAAGCCGTGGCTTCCCGGTTTACGTGTACCTGCCTCAGCAGCCACAGCTCCACATGGGCCCTGGCTACTCCTCATCTTAACCCACTGGGATTAACCAGTCACCTAGTCCATCTCCCTGACCCAGATCTTTTGGTCATCTAGCTTTGATTCCCTCTGTCTGCTGAGCCGACCAGGACTTCTGAACTTCAGGGGCCTGCTTGGCCAATTGCTTTTGGGTTTCTGACATCCTCCTAATGTTTTCCTCCTGATATCTTCACCTGCTAACCTACCCCTCCCACAGGCTTTGCCATGTCAGTTCAATGCCAGCTCTTGCCTACCATCACCTCTTCTTTTTGTTTTCAAAATAAAATGAGAGTCTGATACTTTTCTCCACCCTTCTGCTTCTGTGCTAGTGCACGCTGTTAACTTTCTGCCTGTTATTTGGATTGGCTATTTAGTCTCCTCTTTTCCTACACTTTATCAGCCTGAGTAGTCCTCTTAAAACCTGAAAATAACAAAGGAGGAAAGATTTATTTTGGCTTATTGTTTTAATGGCCTGCATCTCTCACCCTCTTCTCAAACTTCACTGTGTAATCATTACCTACTGCCTTTCACAGCTGCCTCACACATCATGGACGGGAGGCCTGTGGCTTGGGAAGTACTTGCTTCTCTGGAAAGGTTTTCATCTGTAAAAAAGGAAAACTCAAATGAGCAAAAGAATACCAGGGGCCGCAGATCATCCACTGAAAGTTAAAAAAGAAAAACATAGTTCTTTTCTACTTCATGTGTGTATGTATATTCAACAGGCCCACCTAATATAAGCCTCACCCCTGTGCTTTCTCCTAAAGGACTCTGTTCTTTACAGGAAGACTGCTTTGTCACCTTTCTTGTGTAACAGTATGATAATATGTTTTAATGTCAATAAATTAGTTCCACAAAGCAGTTTGGGGGCTGTATTAAATATTGACTGGATAGGTTGATATGCCATAATTTATCCAGGCCATGTAGTTCTGTAGTGAATTCCCTTGTTGCTAAATCTTTTGTCTTCATTCATTGCTAAAGAATAACATCCTGGCGCTGGCTATGGTAGCACATGCCTGTAATTCCAGCACTTGGAAGCTGAGGAGGATCACTGTGAGCTTGAGGCTAGACTGGGCTACATAGTGAGTTTCTGGCCAGCCTGAACTACATAGAAAAACCCTGTCTCAAAAAAAACACCTAGAATTTTACTTTTGGATCAAAGAGTAGGATATTAAAAGTTTGTGATTTGTGCTGCCCTTCAGAAAGACATACCAGTTTTCCCTCCTAACAGTGGAATGGGTTAATACCTTTATGCCTTCACTCTTGCCATCTCTGGTCATGTGCATTTATGGTCCATGTTTTAATGTCTGACTCGTTACCACGTGTTCTAATATGAAATCATTGCCTTAACAGGTTTTTGCTCAAGAAATAAAACCCAAACCACTGAACTATACACTTATAATGGTTAAGATGGCAAGTTTTCTTTTGTGTATTTTACTGTTATTAAAAAGATGCTTTGGACCAGGGATTTAACTCAGTGGTTCTGCCCCCTCCTCTCAAGCACAAGGGCCTGAGTTCGATCTTCAGTACCAAAAAAAACACCAAAAAACAATGCTTTGATAAAGTTATATGAAAAGTATGATTTTATAGTAAGGAGAATATATGTGATATTAAGTGGCGTGTAGGACTGAAATCTTACTATATAACTTGTACTCATTACTGATACAAAAGTATTGTTTTTGTCATTCTATTATGCAGGCCAAAACACTAAGAAAACTGATCCAACAAACATTTAGACAGTTTGCCAACCTTAATAGAGAAGAAAGTATTCTGAAATTCTTTGAGATCCTCTCTCCAGTGTACAGATTTGACAAAGAATGCTTCAAATGTGCCCTTGGGGTAAGTATGGAAACTTGGGAGACAGTGGACTAGATGACTTTATGCTTTTTCTTCTCTATGTGTATCTAACTTTCTGAATAAAAGAAAACTAATTTGTAATATTGTCACCAAATGAGAATACTGTTTTGTCATTTTTCAGTGGGAAAAGTCCAAAAAGAAAGTGTATGAGAATAAAATTGCTTTTTAATAACATGCCTATGTTTATAATTAGTTTTACTCTGGCCTGAAATTTGTTAACTGTTCTCCAAGGACTAGTTTTCTTATTTAGATAATCTTCCTAGAGAAAACAGCATCTAGCATGCTAGAAGGACCACAGTATATTCCTAACTAGGCTCAGTGGATGCTTGGTCAATGAAGTTGTAAGTACTTCATTTGGTTAGATAAATAGCAAACCCAGCCAGTTACCACCTCCCCTCCTCCATTCATTCTTTAATAACTATATTTCTGATTCTTGACCTAAAAGCTTTCTTTTTCTTTTTGGCATATCTCTCCTCACTTGTTTGACCTTCTAAAGTCAAGCTGGATTATTTCAGTGGAACTGGCTATCGGCCCGGAAGAAGGGATCAGTTACCTAACAGACAAAGGCTGCAATGTAAGTACATTGTGACAGGTCACAAACTTGACTGTAAACAAAGAGGTGTCAGACTAAGAAAGTGGTGCACTCCTCTAGAAAGACATTTTGCAATTAAACCTTTCTATTATATGGTGCTTCTTGCTCAAAGGAAGAAAGACAAGCCAGAGCCTATATCCCTGTTAAGATTCTTCACAATTCTTTAGTCTTCGAAGTATGTCACACAGATGGTATGCATGTTAGTGATACCTGAATGTGCCTGATGAGGAAGTTTTAAATAATTTTTTTAAGTATTTATTTTTGTGGGCTTGGGAATTGATCCCACGTCCTCATGCATGGTAGGCAAGTGCTCTACCACTGAGCAACATCCCCAGCCCTAAATACAATTTTTTTGCTAAGTTCTGTATATAAGTATGTGTACTGGCATCCTATCCCTTAAAACAGCTTCTTCCATCTATTACTGAAAGAGAAAATTTCATAACATTTAATAATCACTACTATCTTTATTTACCTTACTGAGGAAGAATGCCCATCAGAGAGAAATCCATAGTATGTCCCCTTCCACCAGTCCAGCCTTCCATCTCCCTCTTGTGTTCTTTCTTGGAAATGCTGGCCTATCTATACGTGTGCTCTTTTTTCGTGCTTGCAGCAAATGTTACTAAGCACCTGTTTGTGGTCTAATCTAGAAATCTGCAATATAACAAGGAGCAAAACTGACAGAAGCCCCTCCTGGACATTTCTCACAGTTGAGAGTCCATAATAATTTGGGATACATCTGTGTCATGTGATGATGAGTACTGAGGTTAACAGCAGCAGCATGTAAGGAGTGGTGTGCTGAGAAGAACATGCTCACATTTGAACAGTTGGTCGGGGATTGTAATTCTGAGGGCTTCTTCAGCCTACCCTAGCAGGTGTGCTTTTGCACTTACATAATTTTGTGGTTTAAACTTTCATACCTTTACCTATATACAGTTTTGCATAAGTGTGACCAAATATTGTCATTCATACCTGCTTTTCAACAATACACTACTTGGTGTCCATTCCCATTCCGCTTAGCTTCTTCTGCCACATCATATCTTTCTCTTCAACCTTCCCTGACCCCTTTTGCTCACATGTAAATGGCCCAGTAACTGTTCTTCTGTGATACTTTTGTCTCATTCAGAAACAGGATTATCATTGGGTACCTATCCCATTTCTTGTGAGATGAGATTATATGGAGGATGTTTAATGTGTGTTCAGATTTCTGCTTCAAAACTAATTTTTTAAATAGAGCTTTACACACTATTGGTTTTTCTCACAATGGAAGAGACTCTAGGGATAAAACTTTAGAATACAATTCAGATAGTTTTAATTTTAAAAGAATGTGCCAGGTTGCTTTTCAGAAAGGCTAAGAAACTTCATACTGTCACCATCAGTGTATGAGAATTCTATTTTTCTATTCACTTGATAGTGATACTTTTAATAGCTCTTAATTTTCCCACTTTAATAGGTTTGAATTATTCTTGCTACTGTCTTTGTTGATTTGACAGAAAGCAAGCTTCTAGTGAATATAGATGTTCATGCCCTAACCACTTCTGTTCCACCTCTGAATTATCTGTTCATATCATATACTTTGCCTGTTTTACCAATGCAGTCATCTTTTTTATTTCATCTTCTAAGTCTACACATCCAGGAAGTCAGTATATTTTTCTTCATCTTTGTTAGGTTTTTTTTCCCTCCAGATTTCATATTGCCCATTGACTAAACTGATCAGTCTCAGAACTCTTTGAGATCTCTCTTACCCTATTCCAAACACTGCTTACTCACCCCATGAATGACCGCTGTTCTGGCTTCCAGCATCAGTGGTTTTCAATAAATGCTGCTGAGTCCACTGCATATTTATGGAGGAAAAAGAAATGGGTTTTGACCCATATCACTTACCATGACAAAAATTGATTCCAAGTAGAATATAGATCTATATGTGAATGGCAAAAACGTTAACTGTTTGGAAGAAAACAAAGAATATCTTTATAACTTAATGTAGGCACAGACTCCCTAAATAGGACATATGAAGTGCTAATTCTAAATTAAAATTTTGATAAATTGGACTACATTGAAATTAAGAACTTTGTTTCATCAAAAGAGAGGAGAAAAGGAAGGTATTTACAACAATTACATTTCACAAAAACCTCTTAATCTAGGATAAAGAATTATTACAAAATCACCGGGGATTGAGCTCAGTGGTCCCGACGCCTGCCTCGCAAGTGCAAGGTCCCAAGTTCGATCCCCAGTACCAAAAAACAAAAAAAGAATGACTACAAAATCATTAAGAAAAAGACAGGCAGCTCAGTAAAGGATATCCAAATAATAAATAGAAAAGTAGCATCAGAAAAATAAAACATATTGTTGTTACTTCTAATGGTGAGAAGACAAGAGATATATAGTACCAAGTATTGGCAAGAATGTGGAACAACTGGAATGTCATACTCCATCAGTGAGATTATGAAGTAGTGTAGCCTCTTGAGGAAACTATGACCATATCCAGCTTTTCTTTACTTACTTATGTATGCCTTAGATCCAATTTCTGGTCTCTTATATTTACTTGTACGATTTTTCCTTGTCTTTTTACATTTACATCTTTATCTAGAATTTTATATATGGTACCTAATGGGCATCTACCTACTTTTTCTAGGAGAGATTAAAGATAAGGTTTAGTGGTATTAAAAAGCCAGACTGTGAAGTAAACATCAGGATCACTGCCTTCTTGATGCTTACATGCTGGCTTTGTAACTTTGGGTGCATTCTCTCACAGTCTGTTCATGTTTCCTCATCAATTAAATGGCTACAGTAATCACAAAGACCTGGGAGAGTTGATAAAGGAATTAACATACTATTAAATTGAAATACTTAGATCATGGCCTGGTACCAAGTTAACACTTAGAATATACTACCTACTACAGTTGTGTTGTTGCTACTGCTGCTGTACAGAATTTAGTTAATAGCTAATATTAATTAAGTATTCTGATTCTTTACCTCTGAATTGAACCAGCACTTTCATAATCTTTTTCTGGCTTGTCTGGTCTGTCCCACTGATCCAAGGGTCTTTTTCTATCCCAATACTGTACTGATTTGATTGCTATGTCTCTCTGTTTTCCTTTTTGGTGTTTCATTCTTCTTTTGTAGTTTTCTCTGAGTGTTCTTGCTCATTTAGTCTTTCAAAACCAAATTATAAAATTAACAGAAAATTCTCTTGGGATTCCAGCTTATAAGTTAATTTTGTAAAAGTAGACATTTTTGAATATTATGTTAGCTAAGAATATGGTATGTCTATTTGTTCAGGTCTTGTTTTATATCCTTCAGTAAAATTACATGTAATTCTTTTATATTAAACTAATTCATAAGTATTTCACAGTTTTTGGCCTTATTTTGAATGGATTATTTGGAGGGGGTTTTCTAATTTAAAATTTATATTGTGAGCATAGCAAAATACACCTGGTGGTTGTATGTCATATATTCAGCAACCTCAGCATTCATTTAATAGGTCTTTTTGTATTAGAAGCTTGGATTATAAAGATACATAACCAGCAAAAAAGAAAAATTATTTTAACTTTTCCACTTTTTCACCATATATGTTTTTTTCCTTTAAGTCAACAAGAACCTCAAAGATCAGGTTTCATAACAGAGTGGTGGATGAGGTTATCCCTATTTTGTTTTAGATTCTAATTTATGAATTAGATGTGTAGTATTAGGGCTATAACGCAGCCCAGTGGTACAGAGTGCTTGCCTAGCATGTGCAAGGTTCTGGGTTCTATCCTCAACACTTCAGAAACTTCAGAAAGAGGGAGCTTTTCTAGGAAATTTTTTGTTACTGAGTTTTAATGATATGTCTTTAATGTTTTAAAGTTATTCCTTCTGAGCTTTTCCTTAGATTGTATTAGTAGCAGCTCCTAAATCTAATCAAAGGCCTTTTAGCCTATTCAGATATGATTTGGGTTTTCCTCCCTCCCCTTTATATTTTAGTAGATAACGTTTTATGTTGACTTAGAATTGCATGTTCTTTAAAGCTTAGTTGAGTTTTGTTTTGTTTTTTGGTACTGGGGATCGAACTCGGGTCCTTGTGCTTACACAGCTGGCAGCGAGACCACTGAGCTAAATCCCCAGCCCAAGGTTAGTTGAGTTTTGACAGTGCATTTTCCAATGATAGATCTTTATGATCTCTTCAGTAGTAATTGATTCGTTCAGATTTTCAAGTATATGTCAGTTTTGATTATTTACATTTTGTTAACATATTTTCTTCTTTATACCTTCAAATTGTTGCCATAAAGTCGCATCATGTAGTTCACTTAAAATCTTTACAGAGCTGGACATGGTAGTGCAAGCCTTTAATCTCAATGCTTGGGAGGCTGTAGGGCCTTCATTCTGGTGTGAGATAGAATGCATAACAAAACTAAGCTTATTGTGATAAAAGACTACAGTAGGCTGATGTGAGAAAGTGTTTGGGTGTCCAGTTTAGAGTAGGTAATCAGCATCAGCCCTTTTCAACTCTGTCCTTTTTATAATTGATATGTGTTAATATCCTTTTACTATTCTGAAGTTAAAATTACAGAATATATTATCCACCTGTATATCATTTCAAAAATTCTTAGTAAATGCTCATCAAAAGTCATTGGCAAGGGCCTGGGATTTAGCTCAGTGGTGCCGCACCTGCCTGGCAAGCGCAAAGTCCTGAATTTGATCCCTGGTACCAAAAAAAAAAATCATTGCAGTGCCTTAATAGTCAGGTGTACCTACCTAGTTATGACTTTTAATTTCAGAAAAGATATCCAGAAGTCACTTTGTACAAGTAGTACAGGAAAATGATGGGGAAACAAAGTTACATAGCTAACCTTGGAGGATATGTCATAATGGGTCCCCTTCCCCAAAAAAATAAGTTAAAAGAAATAACACAAAAGTTCCATGTGTGATTTCCATAACCTTAATTTCTTACTGTGTTTTGGAAAGTTTGTTTTTAATTTTGAGATAGTAATAATAGAAACTAATGAGATGTTCCTCATTTCATGTGTTGCCACCAACTTAACATTTGGCTCTCTGTTACATAGATCCTCAGATCTCTGTTATGCATACAGTTACTACAAATGTAGACTGACAGTTACATTGAGCAGCTCTTAACTAAAATTCCAAAGACAACAGAGATACTACTTTTTAATTACTGATAAATTGCAATCCTGAAAGTTTCAGTGCAGTGCATACTTTATACTTTTAAATGTCCTTGAGTTCTGAAATCAGATTTTTCACCAGCGTAAATACACACCAGGATATTTGAAAGCCATTCAGGACAATTTTTCATTATGGGTGAATTTCTTACACATTATGTAGCCTCTAAGAACCCTGGTCATCTTTCACATCCACCATTCTTTGTTCTACCAGAAGCCACCCACCCGCAGTGAAACTAGAGCACATCTCATTGAAGTGAGATCATAGTAGGGAATTAGGTCAGAGAGACAGGGAGGGGCTAGATTACATAGCATGTTTCATCATGTTGATCATGTTTCCTTGGAAATCATGTAGGATATGGTGCTTGCATTGTACCTTGTAGAGCAGGGAATGATATGATCTGATTTACATTTTTTAAAGTAATCTCCCTGACTTGCAGGTTAGGGGCATTATACTGTAGGAGGACAGGCATGGATGAAGGGAAACCAGTTAGGAAACAGTTGGAGGTTTCTAAGTGTGATATGGTAGGGTGATCTAGACCAGAGTGACACTGAGGAGATGAAAAGAAAATCCATGGATTCTGCATGTTTGGAGCTAGGGTTTCTAGGCCTTGTTGAAAGGTTGGGTATTTGGGGTAAAGGGAAAAATGAGAATCATGATAAAGTCTTCATTTTTTGGCCTAGGAATTTTAGGCCTGGTTGAATATAATGCTTTTTACTGAACTGGGGAATCCTGGAAGCAGAACATGTTTTGACTGTTAGGTTTGTAATCTCTCTATGTAGTGATGTCATGTAGGCAGTTGGGTCCCTGAGTCCAAATTCCAAGGAGATATCAGGGCTGAAGATGTTTCCTAATGCCATGTAGCCTAGATGGTTTTCATTCTGCTCTGGGGCAGTCAGGGTACATACAGCACAGTTCTGTAGAATTTTCACACTTCTAATTTGAGTAGAGGAGAAGCCAATAAAAGGAACTGTGAAAAGAGACCAGTGCAGTAAGGGAACATCCCAGGAGGGTAGGATGTCCTGGAGTCCAGGAGAGCAGAATGTGCAGAAGGGCCATGCCACATGCTAAGGAAAAGCCCAGAGAACTGCCCATGACAGGAGGCTTACCAAACACACAAATCCCTGAAAACAGCAGGAAGGTGCTTTGTGAGGAAAGGCCAATGAGCGTGATGCAGGGCAGTTCCAGCTTAGTCCCAGTGGCATCTTCTGTCCATTATAGGATGGGGAGGGCTAATACCTTGTGATATGCTAAGAAAGCAGACTTAAGCTAATTCTTGTGAAGAAACATGTAGGAATCACATACAAAGTGGTCATGATCATGAAATGATAAAGACTCTTTTGTATATTTCTTTCTTTTTTAAAAGAAAACAATGGAAGCTGGGCATGGTAGCACATGCCTATAATCTCACCATTCTGAAGGCTGAGGCAGGAGGATCACAGGAAGCTCATGGCCAGGCTGGGGTTACACAGTGAGTTTAAGGCCAGCCTGAGCTATATAGCAAGAACCCGTCTCCAAAAATCCAAAAAGAAAAAAAGAAAGAAAAGGGAGGGAGGGAGAAAGAAAAGAATTTATTTCAGTGGGGAAAATGACCATAGTCTCTCCTGTCATGTCCTAAGAGCCCAGCCTGTGTGAGGCAGATCCTTTGGATATGTGCTATCTCCCCTTCTCCATTACACTGCTGGACTTTAGTACATTCAAAAACTTCTGCTACCTTAGTGCAGTGTTTGCAAGAATGAGAGTACAAGTTCATTCCAACCAAGAATTCCATAAGGCTCATCCCACACTAGCAAGTGGGTCAGAGAAGGGGTTCCTTCTGCTTCCTTCTTTTCCTCCCCCCCTCCCACTCCCTCTCTTTCTGTTTCTCTCTCTCTGTCTCAGAACTGTTCTTTCCCTCACCGAGCTCAATTGTGTGGATCTCCTCAGAATATCACAAAGAGCAGACTCATCCCAAACCTGCAAGTGTTCGAAACAGTCTCCTGACTGCTCCACAGCAGACTACAGTGACAGTCAGTTCCCCCAACCTCCAGTCTTAGGGAGAGTGTCTTCAGAGTGAGCTAAAGGTTGGAACTTCGAGAAAGCTGCACAAAACAGTTAACGGGAGTGAAGTGGGTCATATATCTGTGATCTAAGGACCTTACCTTTCCTTTCCAAAGCCCACACATCTGGCCGACTTCAACCAAGTGCAGACCATTCAGTATTCACACAGTGAAGACAAGGACAGAAAAGGAATGCTGCAGCTCAAAATAGCAGGTGCTCCTGAGGTAAGGGAGTCTTTCATGATGAGTGTATCATGAAAGGAAGACTGAAGCATGGTAGTATTTTTAAAATGGTTTTATTTTTAGGATAAAGGTAAAGTTTTCGCATATCATTAGAATCACAACTTTATTGTGTAATATATGGAAAATAACATTACAAATAATTAAATATTCCCAAAAATAAGACAGGATTCAGATTTTTAAAATCAAGAACATTCTTGTGAAGACAAAGTTACTGTGAATTCTCAAGGAAATCAACCTTTTGGAATTAAATATATGAAAAATGTATATCCCACACTGTGTTGCATGACACTCTCTAGGCAGTAATACTCATAATAATGGGTGAGATTTATGGGGCACATGATATTCTCACAATGAAGCAGAGTAGGTACTTTGATATACTGTACTTTGGTTAACCCCATCCCGTAAAGAAAGCTGAAGCACAAGAGATTAGCCACAGCCATCGTAATTCGTAGCGCTAGCTTCACACTCCCAACAGCCTCGGTCCATAACCTGTGCTCTTAATCACTATGCAACAACAGTGTGTTAATAATAAGAAATGTTACAAGAAATGAACATTTGCCAAATACTACATAATGTGACCGTGTCTGAAAGATAAACAAAGCACACATATGAAAGAATCTGAACCATTCAGTGGCACATGATTTTGTGTGTGAAGCACATTGTTTGGAATTCATCTTTTCCATTGCCACTGCTCACTGAGGGGTGCTTCATCAGTGTGCTGCCCTGATTCTGAGAGTTTGGTGATATCTGAGGCTACAGAAAGTCTGTTGATTCTCAAGGTTAACACATATTACCATATAATACTGAAAACTTGAAAATTGAAATTCCCTGCAGAAGTGTCATTCGTGAAGTTGCACTGTCATTTTTCAAACTGTCCTCTCATTTAATTATACAGTATGCCAAATAATACATAGGGTCAGGCAGGTGAGAACTGTTCATATAGGAGGGGATTACAAATAACCACATGAGGGCCAGGGGTTTAGCTTAGTGGTTCCACTGCCTGGCTCACAAGCTCATACCCTGGTACCAAAAAAAAAAAAAAAAAAATGAAATAACCACATGAACTAGGATATACTTGTGTTTGAAAATAAAATACAGCTTTTATTGTCTGCTGGATAATACTAATAGATACGTCTTTAGCCAGTTTGTGAAATAGAACATTTTTATATTGAAAAGAGTGATTTTTAATCTTTTGGACAGAACATGCTATGTAAACTAAAAATAATGAAATTTTATTAATTTTATTTTACTGCACATTAGTCTCATTTCTAAAACAATCAGTGGTTATGATTATCTAAAGTTTCTTCATTATAGGATGCCAGATATTCTGAAGCAAAATTTTTTTTCACCACCTTTTGTTCTAAAAAAGTGAGCATCCATTTAAGTGATTTTTATCTTTTCTTCTGAGGTTGTCTTCTGTCACAGATTCTAGGAAAAATGTCCTTATATCAGACTTCCTTTTTCACTCATCTTCTGACAAGTCTTATTTCACTCCCATTATTCTGTGTTTTCAAGTGTATAGAGGTCTGATGTCATAACACAGCTGTCCCTTTGATTGCTGGGAAGAACAATAATGTCTCTTTCTTGGTCTTTTCCCCTATTTAGCCTCTCACAGTGACGGCACCATCCCTAACCATAGCAGAGAACATGGCTGACCTGATAGACGGATACTGTCGACTAGTGAATGGAGCCACACAGTCCTTTATCATCAGACCCCAGAAAGGTGAGGTTCTGTTTCTGCCCCATCATCCCTGTTGCTTTTTACTGAACGATTAGAGGAGCTTAGCCCCAGCAGCCTGCTCTTGATTTTAGCAACGCTGTAAATGTAAATACCAGATGAATAATTTGGCTCCATATAACCTACATGCTTGTTTCTCTAGGGACAGTGGTTCAATTCACACTCCCACAGATCAAGAGCTGGGTTGGAGTAGAGTGTAAAGTCAACAGTGTCTGCATTACAGTACCATGTTTTGAGCACCCTACTTAGAATATTTTCTAAGTTACCATTAGTTCTTTTAGATAAATTTTTGAGATTATATTCTGAGTTTTAAAATGCCTATTATAGCTGATACTAATCTCCTGTTTTTTCTTATGAAAATTGTTGAAGAACAAAATAAATTCTAAATCATGACGTAAAATGAGAGTTTAGGATGAATAAATGTCCTAAGAAAAAGGCTGTGTCCCCTTAGAAATGAGGCAGGGTTTTTTGCAACCATAGAATAAAGGATGTTTCGGAGGATTTGGAGTTATAATCAAGTGAAAACGTCCACAGCAGCACACTAGCATAGTGCAAAACAAAAAGAACCTGGACTTGAGTTGTGTCAGCTTGCAGGTTCACATCATGTGTCCACTGGGTTGCTGTTCATATGTGCCTGCCTTTCTTTTTTTGGTACCAGGGATCGAACTCAGCATCTTGCGCTTGTGAGGCAGGCGGCGGCTGTGCTTGCCTTTCTGTGCCAGTTTTTTTTTCCACAGAGCACAGATTTAGCAGTTCTCTTCTGCAGTACTAGGAGAGTGATTTCCTGTGTGAGGAATGTTTGAAACTGTGTGGCATGGCATGTGCGGGGTTCATAAGTTCGGTTATATTGTTGTTCCTCCTGCCACTTGTAGGCAGTGTGATCTTGATACATGGTATTGACCTAACTTTTAGATTCCTCCTTTTAAAAAGAGAAATGAAAAAAAAATAAAAATAAAAATAGAAGAGAAATGATTCCTCCTTTGTGGGATTGTTGGGGGTATCCGAAATAGGATCCATAAAGCAGCCCACCATACTGTGGCAGGTGGGGGCTCTGTACATAGGCTTTGTCTTTCATGACAAGGCCCCTTCCAAAATTCATCTCGATGACTAGGATGATTATAGGGAATCCTGAAGCCCTGCATGGTCCGTGTCCAAACAAGCTATTTTGAGCTAGATAGTGACAAGGGCAGAGAGAGATACAAGTGAAGCAGATGGCAAAGGCTGCCATGCAATGCAGAGCCCAGCCTGCCTGGCAGGAAAGCCCTCTGACTACAAAGCAGCTCTAGGGTCAGGATGGAGATATAGAGTAGGGCGTGTCCATGTGGGTGGGTGTGTGTATGTGAGTGTGTGTGTTTTAAACAGAGGAGTCATGGGAACCCTTTGTTTAAAAGGTAATAGCGATGTCATGCTCTGAAAACAAGAGCTGAAGCCATAAACCACAATTGCACAAAGTAAACATGTGCAGGATGCCAAGATATGGCACACTACAAGTGTTTTTCCCCCCGAAGATATCACTAGTGATGTTTATTTGTGTGTTTTTTCTAACTGTATTTGTGGCAGTTTTCTTTATATGCAGTAATAGTTATTTTGAAAACTATTGGCAACTACCCTCTGTTAAGGCCTTTGTAGCCACCAGCATTTGACTTCTCACTTCTTTCTCTAAACAAGAGTATAGCTTAAAAATGGTATTTAAATGTTTGGGAGAGTTCTTCACAG